TTTCATCCTAACAATAACAAGTTTATTTTGATAAAATAAAGAATAAACTTCTAAATTGTTCTATTTTCATCCCTCTTGTGAGTTATGACGTTTTTCCTGAAAACATTATATCACCACTTCGTGATATTTTATCATAATAATATAAATATTAATAACAATGCCATTAATAAATACAATAAAAACAACAAATATAATATAAATTAAGCCATAAACAACCCTTTATTTTATATAAAAGATTTAAAATATTTATAAACCTTAATAGAAATAAAATAATAAAAAAAAATTGAACACTTTATTGATAAAAATAAAATAACAGTAGAATCAGCCTTGTTCTGTACTTAGGAACTTCGTTAGTATTATAAAAATTAAATAAGTTATTAGAACATGAAAATAACAGCCTTGTATTTGTTCTATAATTTAGGAACGTCATAAATTAAAATTATTGTAAGTCGTAATATTTAAAAAATTACACATTTTCATAAAAAAATGCATACGATTTTGGGATAACATTTTTTTCTAGTAGTTTCAGTAGACCTGTTTTTTTGGCCTCTGCCCCTATTTTACTAGTATATAGCTGTTTTAGTTCATTGATGGTACTTCTGGTTTTCGATCGTCTTTCTTTCAAATGGATCTCACAAAATTCTTTTTCAGAATAAGATGTTTTAAATAAAATTTTTTGAGGACTTTCCTTTTCAAAACGAAACATGGACACACTTGTTATTTTAATGACTTCGCCATTTGAATCCTTCAGATTGGTTCCGATTAGAGATTGTTCGGCCAAATTCTTCAAATCAAAGAAGGAGTCGTAACTCATTTCATTGACCCGGTAAGGCCTTCCAGTTTTTTTTGCACCACGAATTAATGTAATGTATTGCGCTGGTATGCAAATTGGGCCTGATTTTAAAAATTTCTTGACAGTACGTTCAATTACCGAATGCACACAGTCACCCTCATTTTGACTGTGTCCCTTTACCAAAAACTTGTGTGTTATGGAATTTATATACGAGTATTTTTCTACAGCATAGCGGTACATCGACAACATAAATCGATTTTTCTGCTGACCACAACAGTTGTCACTGTAAAATATTACGTCTAACTTCTCCCCATTCTGGACTGATTCTCTATCCTTCAATGATTCGATGTATTTTAGGACGCATGTTCCAATCTCATTAGCTCCGCGTTTTGCTTGTGTCTCATCCCATACGTAGCAAAAAACGTCAGGATTTTTTGATTTCAGTTCGTAAAGTGTAAAATTAAATACATTAATTTTGGATACATAGTAGAAACCGGACGCCTCTCCTCGAGGGCATTGAAGAACTGCCTCCAAGTCATAAACTGCCACAATCAAATTTTTATTTTCACTATTTTTATCAGCTTTTTTTTCTTCACGAGATAATTCCTTTTCTACCAGATGTCGATCGTATTTATCTTTCAGTGTATTTTTTTCCTCTTCAGGAGCATTTTGATACTTTATGCAGTCTTCGCATTGATCTTTTTTTGGGCGATGAAATCCGATATTAAATTCCGTATTGAAAATTCTAGAGTACATAAGATAGTTAGCATATTGCGGTGCCTCAGTTTCTTCACGGTAGTCCCTATGTAAGTCTGCTAGAGTCTTGTCCCCTCCAATATATTCTCTAACGGAATCTTTTCGGCAGTAGTGGCTCTCCATCCTAGGAATGGATTTTATGTGACAACGTACTGCTTCTTTAATGCTTTCATCAACTTTTTTTTGCTTGCCATGTTTTCCTCGCTTTTCAGTGTCAATCATGCCGATGGTCTTATCATTGCTTTTGTTTAAAACTGTTCTAATTGGCCTGTCAGATATGGAAAGTGTCGCTTTAAAAAATGCCTTGCATACTCTTATCTTTTGACCATTAACAGAAAAATAAAATGCATTGTTTTTCTGTCTATGGCTGTTCTCGCGAACATACCTATATCTAGGCTCAACTGACTCCATACTTAATAACAGAAAGTTACGTTGTCTCTGTAAATCGCCTAGTGCCCAATAATTAGTAAAAATAGTTAACCGTTGGTCTTCGGTCACTTTTGTTTTGCAATGAAGGGTGCAGCTGTCTTTGCATGGTGGCCCCATTACTTTATCTTCAACAACCTTGGTTTCTTTTTTAGAATTGACATACTTGTATTTTTTCCCATGATTTCTGCATGCTTTCCTAATTGATTTATTCCACTGCTCTGGTTTGGCCTTTCGTTTTCTCCCTCTTATTTCTTCAACTTCTGAGGGTGCTTCTTCGTTGGGAACTCCATCACTCGACGTCGACGATGAACTGGAATTCTCACCGCCATAGTCTGGATCCAAATCACTGTCATCTGTATTGTTATATCCTATAGATTCATCCTCAGACATTACGTAATCATTTAGGCTACTTTCTCTGTTGTCGTCAGCCTGTGGTGATGACCTATCAGCCTCTCCAATAATGGTTATTTCATTTTTCTCTAATACGGCATTATGTTTGTGGTTCCGTTCAAAATATGAAGGTGGTACATTTTGTAAAGTAATAAACTCGTCAGAAGATGTAGGATTGACAAATGTATTTTCTAAAAATAAAAAAAAAATGAACAGAGGTTGCCTGGCGCCCGCAGGCCACACTATTTTGTAGAACAAAAAAAAAAAAAATTTTAAAATTATCCGTTGCCCACGCGTGCTTTAAGCAAAATTAAAATAAATTCCTCCATTTTTTTAATGGTAAAAATTACAATGCGATGTATATTAAATAGGTAAATATTTTTTTATTCAAGATTTTAAATAACTAATTATTACAAAAATCTAGTATAAAAAGTACGCTAGGTACTCGGTATATTTCTTATACAAGGATAATCTACTTATCATATATTATATGTTTTTGAGTATCATAAACAAATTTAAATACTAATATTTCATAGTTCATAATAAATAAACATCTAATAATAATAATTAACATGGTAACAAAAGTGTTAGGAAAATTGGCCTCGCAAAAATAAAAATTATGATGCCCATAAACATAATATTAATTATGTTAGTAAAATAGCACCTATAAAAATATAGAATAAGCTTTATGATCATTATTTACCTGTTGGCAATAATTGAGACTTCTCGTCATTTTTCACTTCGTACAAAGTAGTTTTATCAACTATATCTGTAGTCAGATTGGGTACATCTTGTTTAACCTTCACCAACTTCATTAGCAATCTCAACCTTCCAGCAGACGTCATGTTATTTTTAACTTGATCTATTTATAATTTAATACCAAGTCCAATAAGATAATAAAATTAAAAGAAATTATAAATGTAATAATATCATAATATTATATTATTATGATTATTTAATAAATTATAATATAATTGTTATAAAGCCAAAAAATAAACTCGTTTACTGACAGAACTCCAATTATAACTGATACTATTTCAAGAAAAGTGTCACAAGTCTGAATAAGTTTATAATAGTAATTCAATTATTATATAAATTCCTCTTACTTGTTAAGCAGTAGTGACCTATTTTGAATTGTGTCACTGTTCAAAATAACGATTATTAATAATTTTAGAAAAAGTGTCACATTTGGATTTGTGTCGTTTTAGTTGAGAATAAATAATGATGTTAATTTGACTGTCGGAACACAACTAGATTTGTGTCACTTTTCGTGATTACAAACTAGCGATTATACGATAAGGGAATAACGACACTACAGCTATCTTGCGGCGAATTTTGGAAACATCAAAAATGTCGTTCTTGCACATAAATATATGGGTATTTTGCAATGCATTTTTATAATAATCTCGAAAATGCCAATTTTTGAGTTGTGTCACTATTCTTGTGCACCGACGATATATTAAATTAGATACATAATAATACAATATGAACAATCTATTAACCTAATATTAAGTCAAGGGATACACTGTCGATATTATGATGTGAATATGTCATATGCATAGGCGCAAATAAGGGGGGGGGCTTTAGGGGCTAAGCCCTCCCAAAAATGTCCATAGCCCCCCCCCCCAAACATTTCCTACATTTAGTTTTAAGCTTATTCAATATTATCAAAGTAAGGCTTCCCCCCAAAATTCCAAACGTTATTTGCGCCTGTGGTCCTATGACACCTGTTTTAAACGGAGACCGAACCCGCCAAAACGGCTGGCAGTGCCCTAAAAATGTACTGCCGGTTGACGTCATAATTAAATGAAAAGAATGATAAATTAGCTTTTTTTCCATGAATGCACATTGAACCAAATTTGGTAATTATGTGATCATACCTAGTTATTTAGCCATGACTGTGACCAACCGTCTTATAATGCAACCGACGCCGGGTGAAATTATGCGGCGGTGACTCGCCACAGTCGTTACTCGTGATAAGTTGAATTTTTTGCATGGAAAACTCAAGAAAGTAAATATCGAAGTCGAATCCCGAAAATCCTTTCGAAATATTATAAAATTATGCAAACTTCAAAAAATCATAGAAATTAAATGGTTGGACATTTTACATTTTTTTTTTTTTGAGAATGTATTTTAAAAACCATATCAACAAAATGGCTGTTTTGATTTTTTCAAATAACAAATATAAAATTTTTAATTTTTTCAATTTTACATACAAATTTTTAAAAAATATTTTAAATGTAGCGGCCAAAATATGCTGGTAACATGAACTAGTACAATGAATGCAAAAAACTGGAACCAGAACTCCTTCAGTGCCTCTTCGCCTATGAACGGTGGCAGGTCACCGCGCATGTCACGGAGTAGTTGCGACGGTAGTCGGTCGCCTAAATCTCCGGGTCCGACCAACTCCTGGTACTTGGCAGCATTGGATGTGGCGAATGCTTCGGTGAGCCACGTGCTTATTGCCTAGTACGACGCCGACGTCCCCAGAAGATCACCGACGGTTCGAATTGTCGCCTGATCCAGTGCTCCGACGACATAGGTAGTGCACATATTTTGACTTTCCAATAATAAGAAGTTTCCTTTTATCAGTTCCAGTCATGTTAGCCGCCACTAGTACTGTTATTCTTTCTTAGAATAGTTTCCCATCCGAGCACTTTTTACCCTTAAAGTGAAGAATTTTATCAGGAGTTAATTTGAAAAGAATGCCTGCTTCATCGGCATTATAAATGTCATCAGAATAACCCGATTTGTGAGATGTCCAAATGTTAAACAACCAATTAGAACAAATTTCAGTATTAAATGCCGATGACTCACCTGAGATCTTGCTAAAACCATTATTGTGTCGTCGGAAACGCTCAATCCAAGATGTAGTTTTTGAAATTTTTTTTATCTTCATTTTTTTAAGCTGGTTTTTGTTTGCGAAATATTACCAGCTATAGACAAGTAAAAAAGTTTAATACCCGTTGTTAAATGGATCATATCAGCACAGCTTTTTCAAGTTCTTTATGCTGTGCAGTGCGTTTTTCCTGAAGTGGCATGGTTTGAAACATACATTGAAGTATAATACTTAATATATAGGGTGTGGCACCGACTTTAAATATAGATTTTCATTGAAAATCGGACGTTTTAGTGTCCCACCCTATACAAAGTATAAATGAGGAATGGTTTTGCTTGTTTATTAAAAAACTCAAGTTGTTAAGTAGTTTATAGAAATAAAACCAGACACAGACGATAGTTGGATAACCCTTATAGATACTAATATAGTGTTAATATCAATTACCATCGGTTATCAGTCCATTTGACCATCTTTATTTTTCAATATATTTTTTATTAACATGAAGACTAGTGTACCTATATCTCTATAAGGAGGCCAAACTCTACTACAATAAACAGCCCTTAAAACCACGATTAAAGATAGTATGGTTGCCCAACGAACTATGATAAGAAACAATTTAATGATGCTCATAGTTTCTCTTATATTAGCAATCATAGAGTAAAAATTAAGTACTAGCATGTACCATGATATAAAAATAAGGTATGATCGTAACTTTTTGACTGTCAGGTCCTCCGTTAAGCTCGTGTGGGGAGTCATTTCAACTTTTTTATTGTTGGTGCCAAAATATTTGCTGGCTATTTAAAACAATTACCAGGCCACATAGGCACCTTTTTTTTTGGGGGGGGGGGGGTCAAGTTAGTACTAAAACTTTAGGATATTTTATAATTTATTTAATTTAATGTCACTTATATTATTATAAAAACATCATAATTGTTACCATTTTTTAATAACTATATGTACTTTTAATGTAGGTATTTATATTTTTATGTATTTTATGGTTACATTACCATGTGATCTTTACACTTTATAAATACATGTATGTGTATAAAATACCAAACCTAACCTAAACCTATACGGCTATACATTTGTTCTCCCCGCACTCAAAACATATAATATACCTAGCTAGTTTAATAAAACCGGACATTTATTTTATGGGTACTCATGCTCAAATCGGGAACTGAAACAGTCCACTTAATTCATATTTCTACATTTTTCGTCTTGCTACTTTAATTTAACAACTTAATCTCAATTTATTAACAAACCATTTAGTTATACAAATAAAAACATTTATTATTTTAAAACAGTATACAATTAGTACTTTTATTATATTAGTGGATATCTTCGATTTTTCAGCTTTGCAAATATGTCTACAGCATTGTTTAGGTAATTTGGCCTCTTCTTTTTCTATACTAATCATCAATAAGTCACTTAAGCGTTCATCTCCCATAGTTGACCTAATATAAGACTTGATTCTCTTAAGTGAAGAAAAAAATCATTCATTTGAAGCCGTACTTATCGGTAAAGTTCGAATTAAAGATATTATTTTTAATGTTACTGAAAAAGCAAATGGAAAATCTTTTAAGGAGGAAATAATGTCACCTAAATTCAAATTCAAATTCATTATTTTTTTTTTTCAAGGATTTTGCAGAAGGAAATTCGGATAAAATGTTTGACTCATTAAATTGAAAGTAACTATATTGGTCTGTAAAGAATATTAAATGAGGGCAGTTAGGATTAAAAATTTTTTTGCTAGTTGCATCAAATATTTCAAACAGCCTAAACAAATCTTTGCTCTTCTCTGGAAATCTTTCATTCAGCTGTTGTAAAATCATTCTTATGTTATTAATAAATAACTAATCTAGAGAGTTGAAATATCTACTTTATGAATTTACATTTACATTTAAGAAAATAAATTTAAATATAATTTATTATGTAAAATATGCTAGGATTCTATTTTATAAAATATTAATATAAATAATATAATTAATAAAATAAGTTATTATATTTCTACGCAGTATTGGATAGGAAAAGTACAAACACATATAGTGTTAGAGATATGCCATTTAGTTTTATATAAGTTTGGGTTTGAAATTCAATAAGAACTTTACTAAAAATATGAACATTAGGGTGACTTTTATAAAATGAATTTTTTAGATGACTATGAAAGGATTCACAATCATTTGTAGTTCGATTTAAATTTGCACTTTGATTAGCCCACAAATGAGGAGGAAAAGTTGCGTCTTCGCTTATATAATTGTCAACAAAGTAATTCGAAAACTTAATTACTCTTTGGTCGGATGGCATGGTTGTTTCTAAAGTAAATGCAAATACACCGGGAACTTTTTAGGGAGGTAAAAACAATAATCCGAAACATAGACGAAGCCACTTACTTATTTCAGATTCACTTTTATATTCAACACTCAGTCCAAAGTTTGAATTGCCCTCCACCATGATTGACTGAGATGAAATCGACACCCCACTAAACTAACATTAGGCCATATTTGTTTGCATGCATTGTGAATTGCTAATTCATAATCAACAACTATTTCCGTTGGACTTAAAACTACATTTAGCTCTAAACATTTTTCATAGATTGATTTAAAACAATTAATAAAACTCTCTTGTTTTTTATCTTTTAAAAGACAGAAAACAAGTGGAATATAATGTCCATTAAAATAGCCATGAAAAGTAAATAATTGATAAAAGCATTTAACACAATAATCAAACGTGCCATCCACATACAGTGTTTCTGAGATACATAAATGTTCTAAATTTGCAATACAATATATATAATAATCTCACTATCTAAATCAGATAAAATTAAAAAACTTTCATCTCTAATCGTTTTTGGTGCCATCTGAATAAGTGATGAGATAACTTCAGAGCGTGCAGTTGGAACTGGTGGCATTAATTTTCTACGTGCATTATACATATTTCTTTTTACCAATGACATGTCATTCGAAGTTAAGTTTGGTGAGTTTCTTATAGTACTGCTACAACATTCTAGTCCCATATTTAATATTTTAGCTATAAAAAAAAATATATCAATATTTAATATTTTAGCTTCCTACCTATAAGAAAAAATATATTTTATTATTATTTAATTTTGAAATGTATTTCATGGTTCATCACGAATATCTTCCACTGCTTTTCTTTTTACACAACTACTTATTTCTTGTCTTTCTAGCATTTTGTTTGAAATTGGAAGGCATGAACTATGAAGTAATGTGAATATCACTTGACGAATTTGTCAAAGTAATATTATGTTGCTCTTCTCTAAAAGTTTTTATGAATGCATTGCAATTTTTGTTATTGCACCTCCATTTTGTTTCACCAGACGCGTATTTTATATTTTTGTTATATTTAAAGTTGTTTAAGAAAACCAATAAATTGCCTCATTGGCCAGTAATTAATTTAATATCAAAACGTTGTTCGGACATATTTCGTTCAATATAGACATGGAGACACGAAGAACACTACGGACTACGAATGATTATTTCGTCAAAGTTTACCTACGTAAGTTACCTACTGCCGACAATATCATCATTAGAAATACTGTTTACAGATATTATAAAGATAAAATTATTTTTAAATATTAATAAATGAATCGATATAACCTTGACAATTTTATCAATTTTGACGCATGACATCGCAATTGATGTCAACGTATTTAATATGAAAAAGCATGTGGCAATGTGAACAGGTAAGAAAATAAAATTGGCGGAGTTTACATTAGACCCTTTGATTACTTTTTTATCTAACCTGTATTCTGGCGGAGTTTACAATCGCCCATAAGATTGTGTGGTACATTTTTTTGTTATCTTTAATTTCGGTTGGATTGCACCTGGGCAATATTTTTCGTAAAAATACAATCCGTGACGAAATTATTTAATATCGAAAATCGAAATATTTTGGTACTATTCAGTTCAAATTCTTACAATAATAGTATCTTGTATCTTTTGACAAAAATATATACATGATACTTGATACTTTAAAATTATGTATCATGATAAAAGAAACAATTATATCAAGGTGAATTGATAAGGTGTAAACACTTCCACCCGCCCGTCTTAGATAAAGTGATCGAAAACTTTACTCCAGTTAAATATGCCGCTAGGTTCGCTGCCTACCCTATAGAGGATAAGAAATGTTAATATTTATATGTGATTTAAATGTAATGTATTAAGGTTTTCAACTTTTTTTGTAGAAATGCGTTATAATATGGTATACCTATAGTATATGAGTTATGATATATTTAATAATACATATAAATATATAATATAATAATGTAAAATAGCTATTTTTGTATTCATAAATTATATAATATAATTAAGATGTGTCCAAATTTTGTGGCTTGAAGTAACTATCTACTCGTTATTACACTATGGATATAGGTATACAATTAGAAAATTATATATTTTATACATGTTTATACTAATCTAGAATTTTTTTCAAACGTTTTTCGTTTTTTTTATGGTCTGACACTTTGTTGTTATGTTTTTTTTACAATTGGACATCACTACATCAGTATTATAATATGCTATATGTTATTACTTATAATATTTTTTTAACTGATTAGTATTTTGAAATATGAAACAATAATACAATAGTTAATATTTTAATATTTCAAACTACAATTTGTCTACAAAGGTACCTCAGGTGGATGAAATCTGGATGGATACTTTTTACCTTCATAACACTTTCGGTCATTAGGCAAACCAGTATTACACCCAGGAACAAAACATAAATTAGTCATTTTATAATGTTCTAAATTTATATTAACAAAACAATAAAAATTAAATGAAAATTTAGTATAGTGTGACGATTTTTCATTAATCAATAATTTTGATGTTGATACAAAAGAATTAATGCAAGCACCAATGCCTTGTATTTTGTATTTATTTGTGATCCTACTATATTGTTTTCTTTACCACCAATTAAACCAATCAGAAAGCAAATTGTGACTCCAGATAGTTCATAAATAATAGACATTTTTTATTGTGGTTAAAAAATTATAATTTATTCATATTTTAACAAATACACTGGTAATTTATTGTGTT